CAAGACAAGTTCAAGTGCAAGGCCCTTGGTGACGTGAGCTTCTACCTTGGGCTCCACATCGAACGAGATGTGGAGAAGCGGTGCATGCGGGTGCATCAACGAAAGTACCTGGAGGCATTGGCTGCCAACTTTGGGCAGAGTGAAGGCCATGTGGCTACACCCTTTCCCTCTGGGTTCAAGTGTGTGAAGGGACCAGAGGAGGAGAGCGTTGGTGAAGAGGAGAGGCGCCGATTTCACTCGTTGGTGGGCAGCCTCATGTATGCGGCGGTAAACACCCGACCGGACGTCGCGTTTGCTACCGGGCAGCTGGCTAGGGTTGTGCAATGGCCTAATGAGGAGCAGGTAGCAGCTGGAATGAGGGTGGCCAAGTATCTTGGCCAAACACCGACCGTTGGGCTGCAATACTCGGCGGCGGCACAAAGGCGCCAAAAGGGCGCGGATGGTGTTGAACCCGGGCGTTTGTTCCTCACCGCCTACTCGGATGCTTCATATGCATCAGAACCAGAGGACATGACAAGTGTGGGAGGCTTCATATGCTGTGTTGGTGGAGGCCCAACTGCTTGGGAGAGCAAGAAGCAGGTTGACCAAGCTTTGAGCTCGGTGGAGTCCGAGTACATGGCACTCTTCCGTGCCGTACGGGAGATTGTGTGGCAGCAGCGTTTGTTGGCTGAATTGGGGGAGGAGCAGCAAGGACCTACCCCACTGTACTGTGACAGCCAGGGTGCCATTGCTCTTGCTAAGAACCCTGTGTTGCATGGACTCACGAAGCACATGAGAGTGAAGTGGCATTGGACGAGGAGCATGGTAACCGCGGGTGAAGTTGAGTTGCGCTACGTGAAGACCACGGGGCAGCCGGCTGACATGATGACCAAGAGGCTGGTGGAGCAGCAGCATTGGAAGTGTTGCAAGCTGGCTGGGATGGCTCTGAACTGAGAGAGCAACATATCCTAAGGCCAACAATCCGAGGGGGAGTTTGTTGGTGCAACCCTACGGTTTGCACTCGGCTTGTTGTCCGTGTGCGTGAATGTGTGTGTGTATGGAATGGTATGAGGGCATGGGATAATATATATTTCATGCTTATAATTGTGTGTGAATGTTGAGTCATGATGTCGAGTGTGTGTGTCGAGTCAATAGCGAGTTATCGCTAGACGCGTGTTACGCGGTCGTTTGTGTCTCGCGCGCGGTTTCTATTTTGTCGTGCGCGGTTTCTATTTTGTCCTGTGTCGAACGTTCGGCGTGTCGCAGGTGTGTGCAGCAGACCCATCAAGAACTCAAGGATGAGTTTGTGATGAAGAGCCCGAGCCTTGGTGTCAAGCCTCAAGTGATTTCGAAGCTCGCCAAAAAGGGTACACCTCAAGATATTGAAGATAGTTACATTACTTTGTGTAGTGTAACATTTCACTTGGTGTAGGCCCTAGTGAAGGGTAGTTTCGAGACCCTTCGTGGTTGGGGACAGTGTGGCACTGTTCCACATCACTGTACCTCGGCTCTTGGGGTTTGTAGGAGCTGGGAGTCATTCCCAACTCGTAACTCTTCCTATCTTGTGTTCTAAGACTATAGTGGCTGCCATAGTACCGTTCGTTCAAACCGACGCTGTGTCGTCAATTCTTTATCAAATCGTGCAATCTAAATTGCTAATTGTAGACGACGTGAAGACGCTCCAGATCCAATTTGAATCAAGTCATTTGCAGCTGTGAGCAGAACGCTATCAACGTTTGAAGCCGCTGTGCAGAAATCCATCTGTGCTCTCTATCTTTCGTTTTAGGCACATTCAAGCCTATTGTGACTATAACAGGTAGGCCTTCCCCAGCAGCATGAGCGCTTCACTAAGGGGTCGGGGGTCCGGCTGTTGGACGTACAGCAGCTGGCACTCCTCCTCCCATGCTGACACAGCCAAACCTGCAGGCAATTGTGCCGCTCCGGGCGACCGCGATCCCAACCGCAGGTGCTTTCTCTGCAGCGCAGCTACAGACGCTTGGTAGGTCTGCTGGGTGGGCGGATCCAATGCAGTGCCTCGCACATTGCTTGCCTCCTCCACCAGGAAGCTCGCAGCCCGACCCAGCTCCTCTAGCTGCCTCGAGGGAACAGCTTCCGGACGTGCAGACAGAGCTTGGCTAAGCTTGGAGAGCTCGTGCATGAGCTGCTGTCGGCCGTGCAGCAAAGGGCGAACTTGCGATCTGATTCGTTCAGCAGTGCTCTGTTCACCATCCTGCCGTACCGGCGCAGCTCTGTGATTGGCTGGCGGAGTCCGGGCAGCGCTTGAGGGCGGATAGACTGCCCTCAAACGGCCACACCGCCACCCACTTGCCTGCCGATGCCTCCGTACCGCCTCCAACCGCACTGCAGCCACCAGAAGCACCTTTAGACTCCTGGTAGACCTGGCTGAGCCCGAGGTAGCTGTCAAGGGACTCAACGGTGAAAGCATGCTGGCAGGGCAGCACGAGCAAAGGGCTCTCCTCCAGCGTCTCCCATATGATGAGATCCACTCTCATCTCCCTCTTCTTCTTCGACCCACACCCTTCCACCATGCAAAACGCCTGGGAAGGTCACTTCTTGGCACAGAGCGACGGGCATTGGTGGCTGCACAAGAGGCGTTTCTCACACCGCTGCTCGCACGGCTGGCGGTCGCAGGGGGCACCGCAGGGGAGGGAGCACCGACCCTGGTGCCTGCAGGTCCACCCGCAAGGCTCGGCGCACGCAGAGCAGGTCCGGTTGCAGGGTTGGGGGCAGGAGCTGTGTTGGCACACCACGAGGCACCGTTTGGTATAGGGCTTGCAGGGTTTGCCGAGGTGGCAGGGGTCGGGGCAGAGGTGGCCGCAGGGGAGGTCGCGTTTGCATGGCTGCGTGCATTCCTTGTGCTTTCTCTCCAACTGCTGCTGAACCTGCTGAAAGCCTATGCTGAGGTCGGTGTTAGCAGCTGGAGCAACGATGCAGAACAAGGTTGAAGCGCACGCCACCCGCCTTCGACTTACACGAGCATGCAGACCTTTCACGTTTACGCCTCTTTCGGGCAAAAAACAATTTTTTCACGCCACCGAGCCACATGCCGTGATTCCCGCGACCATAGTAGAAAGTGCACTGCTAGCGCTCGTCATCATCGCACACAGACAGACAGACTTTACGCGGAACCGCCGTGACCTGCCAGTACTACCTACCACTATAGCAGCTCCCTCGCCGGGCTCACGCTGCGAATGTTTATGGCCGCACGCTCGCCTGCACAACGCGGCAAAGAACTCGCGAGAGTGACTCGCCCTCGCGCTTCCCCACGCCGCCGCACTAGGCCCCCGCGACCAAAGGTCGCCCCCCCTGCCATGGCTAGCCGCAATCGCCCAGCGGCGCCCCCGGTCGCGTTTGCGGAGATGGCAGCACGGGAACAGGACAGGGAGGTGCAGGACTGTGCTTGTAATGGGCTAACAATGCAAGAAGTTGCTTGTACCGGGCTGACGGTGCAAGAAGGTGCTTGTAACGGGCTGACAGCGACGAAAGGCAACGCTACTGCGGGCAGGGCAACAGCTGAGAGTACCGCGTGTAGAGCATTGGAGGCGGAGGAGGTGCGCTGGCAAGGCCACCGCGATTTCATTGAGGATAGACCCGTGTGCAGCACTGTGCAAGTGAGTCGTAAGTGTGTGTGTGTGTGTGTGTCTGCCGTGCTGTGCTATGCCGTACCGTACCAAAGCGTACCTTGCCTTGCCGTGCCGTGCTATGTCATGCATGCAGTTGGCAAAACCATGGCAGCTGCACTGCATGGCAAGTGGGTTGTGAAGTTTTGAAGTGTTGCTTGGAAGCAGGCGAAGGGTGAATGCGGCTACAGCATACAGCTAAGCTAGTCTGGTCACATGCTGTTACCAGTAGTTGTTAACACACCAGACACACTCATTCTCCTGCACCCCCTCTCTCGCAATTCCGCTGCACCATATTTCCGCTACACCATATTTCGCCCGCTAACCCACTCTGCCTGTTCCCTGCATGCGTGGCCCCACTGATTGCCCTTGCACCCTATCAGTCGGGCTATCTGCATCCTCTGCTGCCCGCCCACGCCCCCAAGCATGGCGAACTGCTCGAAGACATTCCCTCAGGTGACGCCCCCTCCCTCTCGCCCCCGCCCGTGCGCCCTCCCTCTCGCCCCCGCCCGTGCGCCCTCCCTCTCCCCCCCGCCTGTGCGCCCTCCCTCTTGCCCCCGCCTGTGCGCCCTCCCTCTCGCCCCCGCCCTTGCGTTCCTCCATTTTCCTTGAAGGCACCTTGTTGACCCTTTTCCGTCTCTGACCCTACCATCCGAAAGTTTCCCCCACATGTAATCCCCGCCCATCGACCCACTGCTGCAGCTGCTCCTTCTTCCCCAAAACACTCCTCTCATCCCACCCTCCTCTCTTTCCACCCTTCCTCTCCTCTTCGCCCTTCCTCTCTACCCTTTCCCCTCCATCCCTCTATCTTCCTGTGCACCACACAGACATATCCAGCGCCATCCTGCCAGGTCTAACGCACTGGTCGAGCCCTCGTTTCTTCAGCGTCTTCTCCTCGCCCACCAGCGCTGCCGCCATCTGTGCTGACGCCCTCATCAGCGCCCTCAACGTCGTCGGCTTCTCGTGGGCCGCCGCCCCTGCAGGCTGCAGCGACTGAGCTGTTGTGATGGTGGAGTTGCTGAGGCTATGTGATGGGTTCCATTCGGTTAAGTCAGGTGGGAGGAAATGGAGGGGGAATTGAGGTGGGGGGAGTGAGATGAGAGGTGGTGAAGGGAGAGGGAGGGAAGGGAGGTGGAGTGAGGTTAGGGAGGTAATGAGGTCATGAGCTTTGTTCAGCCGCTTGCTGTCAGATTCATTAGGCCATGTTAGCATCCGCAGACCAGAGCACTCAGATTTGCTCATCCCTTCCTCCACAATCTGTGGCGTGCTTGTCACCGTGTCACTGTGTCACTTAGTCACGGTGTCACAGTGTCACCGTGTCACCTTGTCACTATGTCACTGTGTCACCGTGTCACTGTATCACTGTGTCATTGTGTCACTATGACTGCTGTGGCCGGCGAGCACGGATGGGGGCTTATTCACGGCACGGCCAGTGAGGCGCTGCTCATGACACTGATGGCCGCCAAGCGGAGAGTGCTGGACCGCGTGGTGGGGCAGGGCGGCAGCGTGGCTGCAGCGACAGCAGCAGGTAGAGGAGTACAAGAGCACAGACGATGGAGTGGGTGCTTAGGAGGAGAGACGCATAACGAAGGGCCGGCTCATAGCGCACCTAAACGAGGTGGAGAGCATGCTAATATGGAGGATAGGTTCAGCACGGAATGGCACGGAGGGCTGCTTTAGGAGCACAAGGGCGACACAGGAGGAGGAGCGGCCGGCAGTGGAGAGTGGCAAAGGAAGTACCACTGGCGCGCTGCTGGTGTGGGTGTGCGAGGCGAGGCTGCTCCCACGTTCCCATAGGGCAGTGTAGAGGACATAGCAATGCAGCGCCAGGTGCCGCCCAAGGGCAACGTGCGCGTGCTGCCCACCACCGCTGCACTGGCGTATGCCCTGACTGCTCTCCAGCTGTTGGATGCGGTGCAGAGGGATGAGGCAACCGGCCTCATTCCCTTCTTCCTCGTCCCCATAGTAAGTGTGTGCGAGGTGCCTTCTTCTCTTCTTCTTCAAATTCCTATACGGGGAAGGTGCTTTGTTCTCCTCTCCCTCACTCTCACTGTACGTGGAAGGTACCTTATTCCGTTCCTCTCACATGTCATGATAAGCCACCTCGCACATGGGGCGGTGCTTGGCCGCATTTGTACCTCTGGTACGTTTCCCGATCGACCGGTGCTCGTCCTCATGTCCGCCCCTGTATCGCCGCCAGTTACTCGGTTTCCCACTGCCACCACTGCTTGCCACCGCTGTATGCCACCACTGGTGCCTTTTGTATCATCTGCCTCATACCATGACCATGCACTGCCCATGACCATGTACTGCCCATGACCATGCACTGCCCATGCCCCTGCCCATGCCCCTGTTTGGCTCCTGCCCTGCCCCTGCGTGCCCCTGCCGATTCTAATGCCCATGCCCATGTCCATGCCCATGCCCGTCCCCATGCCCATGCCACACCAGGACAGCAGGCCTCTGGTGAAAGCACTGCCAATACTGTCAGAATATCTGCTGAATAAGGTGGGCTACTATTCTCTTATTGCAGCAGTGATCTCGGCAGTGTGCTCTTATCACACGGAGTGTGCTCTTAGTGCACTGTTATCGTATCATATTTGTGAAAATAATAGTTTGAAGAGAAACTGATGGATTGATTAGGAATATTAGTTTGTATGCATAGCTGGAGCTAGGAAGGAGGAGGGTGGTTGGGTACCTAGCCAACATAATTGACCCCCCACCAATAAGTTGGGTTGGGGAATTATTATGGGGATCCAATAATGTTGGCCAAGTTGAGTTGGACCAACATTGTTGGTGGGGGACCAATAATCTCCCAACCCAACCTTTGGAGGCTAATAATTGGACCCTGGTTGGGTTCCAACACCCAACTAGGGTTCACCCTAGTTTTACACCCAAACTAAGGTTGGGTGTCTATCTCTAACCAAACATTATAGGAACGATGCAGTTAATAAAACAAGATAATATAATAGCAGCATGCTCTTATTCAGCGTGCTCTTATTTGGCGTGCTCTTATTCAGCCCGCACTTATCCTGCATGCTCATGTGCATTCACGCACACACGCACGCATTCACGCACACACGCACGCATTCACGCACACACACACACACACACATACACACACACACACACACACACACACACATACACACACACACACACACACATACACACACACACATACACATACACACACACACACACACATACACACACACACACATATACACACACACACACACATACATACACACACACATACACACACATACACACACACACACACACACATACACACACACACACACATACACACACACACACACATACACACACACACACACACACACACATACACACACACACACACACACACATACACATACACACACACACACACACACACACACACACACATACACACACACACACACATACACACAAGCACACACACTCCCTTACCTTCTATTTTCTCTTCGCCCCCTCCCCCCCAACCCATCATGACAAGCAAGCAACAGAGCGGTATGACGTGGGGACTACAAGAACTCAAGGTCCCCATCCGCCACTGGTAATGAGCTGTTTTACAAACAAGAATCCACTCCCTTCCCCCTCCCCTCCTCTCCCCACTCCCTCTCAACCTTTCGCTAAGCAAACAATAGAGCGGCAACACGTGGTGGACAACAGGGACAGGGAGATCCTCATCGCATGCAGCTGATGATTTTTTAGTCCAACAGAACATCACTTTTTGTCCCCCTCGTCTTCTCTCCTCTTACCCCCCCCCCCCCCCCCCCCCCCCCACCCCCTTTCCCACTCCCACAAAGCAGGCAATACAGCGCGATCACATGGTGGATTACAAGGACTAGGAGATCCCAATCGGCCGCCGCTTTAGGTGTGTTAAGGACAAAGTCTCTCCCTGCCACTGCCTGGCATGGTGCACGGCATGCAGTGGGTTTGTTTCATTCCATCTTCACATAAACTCATGGAGTTTCCGATTCAATGTGGATAAGAATCTATGAAATTTAGGCCTACTCGTACTCCAGCCAATTTGCACACCAGCACGCCCATGCTCATACTTATGCCCATGCCTTGCCAACGCCACAATCGCCACCCACGACTCCCCCCCTTCTTTTGAAGGTCGCTGAAGCTGTGGATGGTCCTGTGGACATATGGGGCGGAGGGCATTCGTGCATACATCAGGCACCACGTGGCACTTGCTGAGAGGTTCGAGGAGGCCGTGCGGCAAGATGAGAGGTTCCAAATGAGTGGGAGTGCAGTATGCCATCATTGCCAGCATGCTCTACCTGGGCCACCGTCTCACACACCACCTTGGACTCTTCACACGTCCTCACACACCCTCTTACACACCTCTGCCACTCTCCTTATATCGCAAGGACGTCACCATGCTACCCCGCTACTGCCCTCACTGTCAAAGGTCCACTGGTGATCCCCGATTGATCCTAGGGAAGGGTTACAGGCACGTTGGCCTGGGGGGTTATGGGCGTACTTACCCGCTACACAAACAAGCCCTTTTATCCCAATGGTCTAGTGGTTGGGATTCTGATATGGTATCAGAGCGAAGGTCTCGGGTTCGAATCCCGGTGTGTGCACTTCGGGCATCCCAGTGCGGGGGGGTGTCAAAGGTCCACTGGTGATCCCCGATTGATCCTAGGGAAGGGTTACATGCACGTTGGCCTGGGGGGTTATGGGCGCACTTACCCGCTACACAAACAAGCCCTTTTATCCCAATGGTCTACTGGTTGGGATTGTGACACTCACCCCCCTCCCCCACTGCCCCCTTTGTGCCCCCCAGCTGATGGCTCCGCACCCCTTCGCCCTCGTCTGCTTCCGCCTCAAGCCTCCCTCTGCTCGCACACAGAGTGAGGTGGCGTGCACAGGGGTGGGCGACGGGAGAGTGGGCGACGAGGTGTCGGTGAGCGAGGGCAGCGCGGATGTAGGGAGGGAGGTGAATGCGGCGCCACTGGAGGTGATCAACAGCAGCGCGCAGGCGCATCTCTCTCACACAGATAGTGCTGAGCTCCTTGCTGCTTGGCTCCTCCATTCCTCAACTGTATCTCACTCGCACACTAACTCTTGAGACGTCTCTAAAGTACCGCACGCACGCTGTGAGCCCCGACAACATGCTGCTGCATGCCTAGTTCATTCGTCTGCGTATGAGAGCATGACGCCACTTGACCTCCCAACCTGCCCCCCTGTGACAGTACACGCTGCACATGGCAATAGGGGTGGTGAAGACAGATGTTTGAGACGTCTCAAAATCTGAACTGGCGTCTGTAGTACACGATGCGCATGGCTGCGGTGAAGACAGAGTTGGCGCATGTGCAGGCGGCGTGGAGGTTCATTCAATCGGAAGCTTCCAAGTTGCTGTAAGAGGTGGACTTCTCTGAAAAGGAAACTGTAGAAATGCTTCAAGCGTGTGAATAATCTGCTTTGGTGAAGAAGTGGAATGATGTGTAGAACCCAAACAAAGACAACAGCATCTTTCACATTTTATTGTATATACACGCACATTATAACACTGCCTACGAACATTTTTATCGTCTTCTATGACAATTCAAGTTGCTTGAAGTAAATCAGTGTACACCCGAAACTTGGTGTACAAATGAAACATTGGCGTTCAACCTTGAAACAAGGCTGGAAAATCAATACCAAAACAAAAAAACCTCAAGAATCAGTCTATTTGACCTAGACCAGCATCTTTACGCTGACTTTTGGGTGCCTTGCATTGCAAGAACAATACCGTACCAGTGGTTCCCTCCCAAACCCGTTACTTTAAACCCCGTTGAGAAAACCAGTGGCTCTCTCGTTTCCCTCCGTGAGTGTATGGTGCGTTCCGCCCACCACCTCTCCACACTCAAGGCAGTGAGACTCCTCCATTGCCCCACTACACTCCCAATCGCATACACATGCCCATTGTGGCACCGGTATGAGTGATTTCCTCCCACACCTATGACCTTGAAGACGTCAGCCTTCTCTCGCTCGGTCATTGCAAAGTACCGAGCTGCCCATCACGACCGAGTACCCATCACGAATCCTGCGGAGTAACTTATGAAGAATCGTTTGACATGATTTTTTTAACAGTGTCCTTGAAATAGCCCAAGGACTCTCAAGCGCGTCAGCCGAACTGACTCGTTTTTGAAAATTTTTAGTTTTTCCTAAACGATCGAGAGGGACCCTCCCTCATAGATGCTTGCTTGTCAGAATTTTAGTACGGATGTTGCTCCAGAAACCCGTTCCTCACTTCATTCTTTGCTTCCAACTAATCGGAGCAAAGCGCTGACAAATACTTGTTCCATAGGCTCCAATCTTATGTATTCTCATCGTCCCTTTTTCCGCCGTTTCCAATCGGTTAAGAGACAGTAGAAAATGCCACTGTTAGATGGGAAGAGTTGCGTTTAACGACTCAAGAGCTTAGAAAATGGGGGGAGGCTTTTTTCCGCGGAGTCCGCGCCCACGCGAAGCACTTCTTCCGCCGACCCCTGCGCGCCCCCTGACGGGGCTAGTGTCAGACACAGTAGCTAGAATGAAGGAGCCATAGCTAGGGTTTAGCTATATAGGCAAGAGAGAATAGGCAAAAGATGTTGGATGCACGTCATTCTGAGTGCATGTCATCCTAACGTCCTGCCGAGTGCTCGTGCTATTTGTGCTTGCATGATTTGCATGAGCATATGTCATTGTGCATGGCTGTTGGATATTTTCATCTCTGTGTTTTTCTCCAAGTTTAAATGCTTGATCGTGCAGGAGAAATCCAGAGCTTTCCAACGATACCAAAATCACCTTATTCCGACCAAGATCGCCCAAGTTACAAGATTTCCAAGACTTGGATTTCTTATTACCTTTTGGGGATATATCTAATTTGGGTGATTACTTGGGGCATGACTATAAAGGGATCTTTGGTTGGGTGGTTAGGAAAGGCAACTTTGACTTTTGGATTGGGGTGGCTAGAAGTTTCTAGCATGGGTTGCAAATGTTGCAACACCAAGGCAAAATCCAACTAGATTGGATTTTGCATGTGACACCTCAAGGACCTCATGATGAGGGTTGCATCCTTGCTGCTAGGAAGGTTCCTACCATCCTTCCCTAGCTCTTGGAGAACCCCTTCCCTCTCATGGTTCTCTTGGAGGTTCCCAACTCCAACTTCCTATGCCCTAATGTTTGTACTTCCTCCACCATACTAGTTATGCGGCTGCTGGACGTTTTCATATGGTTCTCACTCTCTAGACCATCTTAACGACTGATTCAACTTGGAGATGGTAGATAAGCCTAAGGCGCAACTTCCTACCGAGCGGATTTGCATTTAGTTGAGTAATGAGTTCGTCGCAAGCTCTCAAAGTTACGGATCCTGAACAACAAAAGAGGAGAAGAGGGTTTTGACTAGAAAGGAGGGAGGTACAAATAGCAAGCCCTAAAAGGGTTATACTCACTATTGAGTACCCCACCACAGACCAGACAAGCATTATATTTTGACACACCCCCATAGTCAAAGTGGGGTATAATCAGCACAGCAAGTAGTCACAGAGCAGGTTCACAAGTACAAGCGAACCTAGAGGCATTCACAAAGGGCAAGTGAGGAGGAGGAGGGACTGTGAGAGGAGAGGAGATGGGAGGCGACAGCGGAAGCTGCAGACACACAGGAGCAGCTGGCTCAGTGGCTACCAAAGCAATGGCTCGGACTACGCCGAGGCTGGAGCAACTGACCCACGGGCGACTGGCGACTACCGGAGACTGTAGCCTCCAGACTACTGGCGCTGCTGGCGACACGACGTCTACCTCCGCTCAACCTCCCCGAACTGTCCCACCCCTTTTCACACACCCCCTGCTGTACCCCGAGCTCCACTCCCACGTCACCCCCCTAGCACCACTCCCTCGGCTCCCACACACCCACCCCCCTCAGCGGCAGCTGCAGCAGTGGGAGACGGAGGAGAAGGAGGAGGAGCAGGGGACGGCTCACACACCCGCCACCCCCATACCCGTCACCCCCATACCCTGAGTGTGCGGTAAGCGAGCTCAGGTGTGCGCGAAGCGTGCACAAGCGTGCGGGAAGCGAACTCGGGTGTGCGGTAAGCGAACTCAGGTGTGCGGGGAGGGGTGGCCGCAGGGCGACGCGCGGGTCCACGGGGGTGGCGCACGGGTCCCACGGGGTGGCGCGCCGGGATGGCGGGGGCCGCGCGCGGGTCCCTAGGGCAACGTGACGGGATCGCGGGGGGCGCTCGCGGGTCCCCAGGAGGAAGCGACGGTCGACGGGGGGGATGCGCGGTTCTCCGGGGGCGGCGCGACGGTCGACGGGGAGGGACGCGCGGGTCCCCGGGGTGACGCGACGGTCGAAGGGGAAGGACGCGCGGCAGTAAACCACCACGCGCCACGGGGCGCACGGCGGGCAGAAAACCGCCGCGCGCCCCGAGCACGCGGCGGGCAGAGAACCGCCATGCGCCCCGAGCGCGTGGCGGGAAGAAAAAACGTCGCACGCCACAGGGTGGGCGACAGACAGGATAGCAGCGGAAGCAGGTGGGCCCATAGGCCAGGAGCGTACTTGCTCTGATAGCATGTCAGACACAGTAGCTAGAATGAAGGAGCCATAGCTAGGGTTTAGCTAGATAGGCAAGAGAGAATAGGCAAAAGAGGAGAAGAGGGTTTTGACTAGAAAGGAGGGAGGTACAAATAGCAAGCCCTAAAAGGGTTATACTCACTATTGAGTACCCCACTACAGACTAGACAAGCATTATATTCTGACAGCTGGGCCCCCCGCGGCGATGGCGGAAGTGGTGGAAGACATGGCGGACCCCCTCATTCAGGTGCGCGGAAGAGTCTTCTATTCAATTCTCAAAGATCTAGCAAATTCCACGCGCAAATTGATCTCACCCCCTTCCCGCACAGGTTCTCACCTCCTTTTCCCCACTTCCCACTGCTGCCCCTCATCCCCATCCCTTCGTCTCCGCATTCCGCGACCCGCTTTGTCAAACATATATGCTGCTTGTTGTTTAGGCTGTAGTGGGGTAGCCCATATGGGGTACAACCCAAATTAGGGTTTCCTACTTGTACCCATCCTGCTGCTAATTCATTCATCCCTGTTCGTTATTTTGACATGGTTTCAGAGCAGGTCCTAGCCTAGAACCGTTTTTTTTTTCGGGTTTACCATTACTTAGTGACCGACTGCGGTTACCGCGTTACCCCACGCCCTGCCCTACGCTGCGCCGTTAGTGCGCGCCCTGCCCTGCCCTGCCTTGCGTCACACTGCCCGTGCACGCCCTGCCCTGCCCCGCGTTGCGCTGCCTCGCGCACGCCCTGCCCTGCCCCGTGTCGCGCTGCCTCGCGCACGCCCTGCCCTGCCCCGCGTCGCGCTGCCCCGCGCACGCCCTGCCCTGCCCCGCGTCGCGCTGCCCCGCGCACGCCCTGCCCTGCCCCGTGTCGCACTGCATCGCGCAAGCCCTGCCCTGCCCCGCGTCGCGCTGCATTGCGCACGCCCTGCCCTGGCCCGCGTCGCGCTGCCTTGCGCACACCCTGCCCTGCCCCGTGCCCTGCTGCCCTGCGCGTCGCGCCCTGCTGGAGCCCGCGCGTCGCACTTTGCTGCCCCGCGCGTCGTGCTCTTCTGCAGCCCGCGCGTAGCGCCCTGCTGCCCTGCGCGTCGCGCCCTACCGCCTGCCCGTTAGGCCCGCCGCGGGCCCTCCCTTCGCGCCGCCGCGCCTGCCCGTTACGCCCGCTGCCGCGCCCGCCCGTTAGGCCCGCCGCGGGCCCTGCCTTCGTGCCGCCGCACCTGTCCGCTACGCCCGCCGCGGGCCCGCCCCTTGCGCCCGCCGTGCCTGCGTTTTGCGCCCGCCGTGGGCCTGCACGCGCTGCCCAGCGCTGCCCTGCCCGTGCGCGCTGCTGCCCACGCCAGCGCCCTGCCCTGCCAACGCGCCAGCGCCCTGCCCTGCGCGCGCTAGCGCCCTGCTCTGCCCTGCCCGAGCCGCCTCTGCAGCGCCCTGTGCGCCCTGCTAAACCCTAAATTAAATAAATAAATAAATATATATATATATATATAAAAAAAAGAGCTCTTGGTGCTTCTTCCCTAGGAGCTACTACCTGCTACTAGCCGTGCTT